CCCCCCCCCCCCCCCCCTTGTCGATCCCCAAACCGATTGTTGAGCAGAAGCAAGGAAAGCGCGATAAGCGGAGACGAGTGAACACCTCTGATTCTGCTAGTGGTAGTGCTCGAGGCCATGGTATCGGACCGTCACGAGCTACGACCAGCAATTCGGGAAGACCATCAGGTAATTTTACTACTTCTATCTATATTTATAGAGTCACACCATTTTTGCCCATTTTTACCCTTGCTCCGCAACCCCAAAAGACAACGGCAAATGTGGTGGCGAGCGGTTTTCTGGGCCGAGCTTGTGTGATGCGGGTAGGGTACATGTGTTCGAGCGGTTTGCCGGTGTTTCGTTTTTATCGAATCGTCTTTGCCTATGTTGGCACCCGGTACCTTGTTGGGCGTGCTTTCGTTGATTCCTTGCTGTTTTCGTTTGGGTCTCGTTGTGTGCTTTTCTCAAAATTACCGACTACACGGCATCCAGAACCAGAACGGCGACAGCAGCAGCAACGAGATCGACAGCAGCAGCAATATGGTGCGACGAGTGCTGAGACTGCAGGCAGCTTGCCACCGCCACCAGGAGAGATCTCATATCACGGCACCTCCTGGCGTGTGTGATTTATCTCTCTTTGGACTCCTTTTTTACGCCTGGATTTTGCGCGGAGTGATGATGGACGATGCCGTGGAGCAAGCTTAATGTAGCGCACATCCGTGTCTCCAAGAGAGAGGGGTGGGGGGGGGGGTTACGTACGCCCCCGCTTAGCAGCACACTCTCCCGACTCTGTGTCTGGCGAAAGCCATGGGGTCGAGGTGGAGCGGGTCGATGGCCGTACAGCAGTGCTCGTTTCCGTGCACGGGCCCAGGACGGACACCACCACCACCAACACTGGCATCCCTGCAAGGTCAGGCAGGGTGATAAAGCACGTCAGGTATATCCTGCAGCAGTCCCCTCCGATATTTGGATTCGAGTTCATTTGAGACGCGCGTTGTGATATTGTCGCGAGAAAAGGGCCAGGCTCTAGGAACGGAGTTCATGGATTTCCCCCCGAAGCAAAGAGCTCCGTGGATAGATGTTGGAGGTGTTTCGAAAGGGGCTGAGAGAGGATGATATTCCCAACGAGCATCAAGCGGCGACCCCCAGCGCGTGTAGTCAAGGATGTGGAATGGGTTGACGCCTTGAGATGAGTTGGACAAACAAACCAACGCGAGAAATTTCTGCCACTCGCGAAGAAGACATGTGATTACTCTTGATTGGGCCGACGGGAAATAGGGGTGGGGGGGTGGGGCTTGGAGAGAGGGGGTACCTATGAGGCAAGAGAGGTTACGTGCAGAATTTGCCGTTTGGTGCTGTCGTTTTACGGTCGTCAACGAAGCCGTTGTTGAGGGGTTGTGACGTGTGATGCGATGGTGTGCGGGCCAGCTGTTGCTGTGCTGCCCCCGGCCGTCGCTGCTGGCTTTGGCAAGTTCTGGGTACAGGTACAGTATATTCCCTTGCCTCTGTAGTGCTTGTGGCCGCGCTTTTCACGTGCTTTTTGTATGCACAGTGGTGTCGGTACGCTACGGGCCTTTGCCGTTACCTCGTTTGTCACATTGTAATAACAGTAGGGCACCCGCCTTCGACATGCGTCCCGTGTATCCAGCGTGTGCGCACTGCGGGGTATTTCGCCCGCAACGACGCACGGAGGAACACGATATATGGTTTCTATAGTACCCGCATGGTGGGTGCCTCTTCGCTTTGAAGGACTTTGAAGACTAAACACGATGTACAATTGCCTAGTCGGCGCGCACGCACTTGGAACAAACAGGCGGCCGTGATTCATTTTATGTTGTTTCAGCTTTACAGGGTACGTTTTGTGCACCGACTTGAGTCCGTCCTTGCGGATGATCGATCTCCGTAGAACGTGATATAGAGTTGCGTAGTCGGCGCGCACTTGGAATTAAACGGCCGTGGTATATTCTCTGTTCTTTTAGTCTGATAGGGTACTTTTTTTGTACCGACTTGAGTCCGTCCTTGCGGATGATCGATCTACGTAGAATATGATGTAGAGTTGCGTAGTCGGCGCGTACTTGGAATAAAACGGCCGTGGTATTTTCTCTGTTCTTTTAGCCTGATAGGGTACTTTTTTTGTACCGACTTGAGTCCGTCCTTGCGGATGATCGATCTACGTAGAATATGATGTAGAGTTGCGTAGTCGGCGCGTACTTGGAATAAAACGGCCGTGGTATTTTCTCTGTTCTTTTAGCCTGATAGGGTACTTTTTTTGTACCGACTTGAGTCCGTCCTTGCGGATGATCGATCTCCGAGACGTGTCAGTTTCTCCGCCGCTTCCGTTTGCTAGGGGTACCACGGTTTCCAAGGGGACGTGGGCGTTGTTTTTCTGGGTCTCTTGTTCTTGAGCTATGCCAACATGCAGATCAGGGTTTGTTTTCGAACCGGATTGAAAAAGGATTGATTTACCCTCACTTTTTTGGGGTGCACTTTTCGACGTATGATCATGCGCGTCTTTTAACATGCAATATCGCGTTGACAGTGGTGGTGTTTTGGTCTTACGAGATGGCGAAGTGTCAAGTCCCCGGCGGCGGTTGTGGTGTTGAAATACTGCGGTTTTTCCTCCTGGCCAACGTAGGTGCCGCTGATTTACAACTCCAATATCCGCTCATCCCTGCGGTGAGCGAAGTCGTCAGCCATGGTCATCGAGACGTCAGCCATGGTCTTCCAGACGTCCCCTTGGTGCTTTTTGTTCGAGGAGGGTCCAACCCTTCCTTCGTCTGTGGTATCCTCGTTGGTGGTTCGGAATGTCATGGACGGAACAACTACACTCACTCGCTGCTGCTGTTACTTCACATCATCACGAAAGCAGTGAGTGGGCTTTTCACACACACGCCCGACGATTCATTTGGCTTTTGGATCCGAGAGGAGAAAGAAATTATACATGTAGTATCAATCTGCGATTGCCAAGAAGGTCCAACCAAGGTCATGACGACATCAGATCTCGATCTACGCTGCGTCTGTCTCCCATAACCAACCACCCCTCTCGTGCCCGATGTGTCTGGATCGCTTTCCCCCTAAGAGCTGGGCACACCCGCCTTGGCCTAGACTATTCCATTCACCCCTTCGTTTGAAGCAATAATGGGTCTCATCACAGATACAGACAACCCACCGCCCGTGACTCCAAACCCATGCGTGCATTATGTTCTTGGCATCTTCATGTCAAAGGAAATATCAAGAAGTGGCCTTTTCTACGTATTTCACATGCACTGCTGTGTTGTCGACCATCAACTGCCGATGCGGCTTGCGGTGTATATTTGCACAAGTTTGCCTGTCTGTATCTCTAAGCCGTGTGCTACACATAAACTCGAAAAACGTTGTGCACAAGTCTACTTCGAAGTGCCATCCCGTGTCATAAGCTGATGGGTTGTCATCACCGTTACATACAAGCGTGCATGTCTCCGAGAGTCCAGCAATACGTACAAAGACGTGGTATACAGAGGACCCACGTTCCACACGAATACCAACATTGAAAATGTCTTGCCCACCGGCCGTTCGTAGTTGTCGAAACACGCCTCGCCGCGTTTGAAAGGGGCTGATACTTGCAGGTCCGACCCCGATCTCCCGGCAGGAGACAGACTGACAGACCGCATTACGCTCACGCAACCCTGCCGTCTTCTCCCTGCCCCCAGCGATGACGACGACTTTGCTGGTGGGATCGAGCCCGGATGCCCTCGCTACCGAGCTTGTGAGGCGGTTGGGTGCCATCGCGAAGGAGTCCGTGCTGGCGCGGGGCGTGTTCAACGTCACCGTCTCGGGCGGTTCAATGCCCAAGGTATTCCCCTTATCACGAGGTTTATGTATCATCAGGTGCTTTCGCATCCATGTGCTACGCTGCTCGTCTTCACTTCTCTCCTCAGTAGGGCTCCTGGTGCTTGCTCTTGTTGGTCTTCGTCTGTCTGCCGTTACTTTCCGTGAACGTCAGTGCTATGTAATAGAAGGAAGCGGGTGTACAGACCCAACCAAGCGCACCAGAAATGGACCCCGAAGACTCTTGAAGAATGACACGCCAGTGTGTGGAGCCAGATACCACACGCCCGAGGGTAGTTGTACATGATACAGCTACCACAAACGGTGTGATTCTAAACGGGGTGCAGGTGTTCGTTATCTACACATGCTCCTCAGAACAGATGTGCAATTATCTACGACCACCGTATAGGCTATCATCGCGTCTGTACCATAGATGTACCTGGAGTATCTTTCGGAGCATCTGTTGGGCGTGGCTTCTGAGATCACCAGGGCTTCACATAATTAATGTCTTCTGGCCTTTCTTTTCTCCGTGTCCACCATCTCATCCTCTTCTGTACTCGACGTATATGTTGATCCCTCCTTCCCCATTCCGCACCCAAGCTTTGGTCCACGAAACCGGAAGACACACGGCGGCAGCAACACCCCCCCTTTCGTCCAAAACAACAGATTTTGTCGGGCCTTGCCCAAGCTGAAGGCATAGACTGGAGCAAGACCAGGATATTCTTCGCGGATGAGCGCTGCGTCCCTCTGGACCACACCGACAGGTACGTACGCTAGTAGCGCCGCCGCGACGAGGATCATTTCAAAATCGCGCGGCGGACCTGTGCCCCTCCTCTCCCCTCCTTTCTTTCCTTGTGTGCGTGTCCCCTTTTGTCTTACGTACAAACTAATACTAGTCTAGAGTCTTAATCCTAATACGCCTTGTTTTCTTGTCTCCACGCCCACCATTCCCTCTGTCCCTCTCAAAAATTTGGGGACAACGTCAATATAAGGAAAAATACTTGCAATCATTGAATACGAAACGCAGTGGTGCTGTGCGCAATACCCCGCACCCCGCACCCCTCACCGCCGCCCCTCTGTTCGCCGCCGCCCCCTTTACAACATAATCCATATAATAATGTCCTGATGGCAGCAACTACAAGGCCTGGGAGGGGCTCTTTTCTTCTTCGGGCATCCCTGCGGAAAACGTGGTCGCTGTCCGGACAGACCTTACCCCTGAGGAAGGTCAGACAACGAACTGCCCGAGGACTCATTTCGGACTTCTTGACCGACTCAACGTCCTCACGGTAACTGAGCTGCATCGCTGACGACGTAGTCTGGCACGCTGCTGCTGCCGCTGCTGCGGCTGCTGCTGATGATGATGACGAGGATGATGATTGTGGCGATGGCGGTGTTGTTTGTGCTCCACCATCGCTGCAAGAACATACGGCCTGCTTAAGTCGAGGTTGACCGGCAATCCACCTGCTATCTCCTCTCGAATGTCTCGTTCTGTTGCCACATGTCGGTAGTAGTACCACAGGAGGTCCTAGGGTGAGTTTGCGCACGAGAACGCTCCGACGACCAATCTTGCACCAATCTTGCATCTCAACCGATTCGGAAGAGCATTCTGGAAGCATTTGAAGATGAGTAGGTGCTTGTCGCAGTGCGACACGAGGGGAGGTTAAGGGGCCGTGGCGACCGAAGTAGTGTCCCGTGAAAGACGGGTTTCTCAGCACCGCTGGTTGTCTTATTTTGCTGTCCCTCTCTCTCTCTCTCCTCCCTCTCTCTTATTTCCTCCTCTCTTTGGTGGCTCATGGTGCACCATGAACCCAGCGGCGGCAGACTACCAAGCCAAGCTCAGGCACCATTTCCCCCCGCCAGAAGGAAACAGCTCGGCAGGGGGCGCCGCCGAATCACTCCCCACCGCGTCACCCCCCCCGAGCTTCGACGCCGCCCTCTTAGGGGTAGGGCCCGATGGCCACACGTGCTCGCTGTTCCCGTCGCACCCTCTCCTGGAGGAGCGGTCTAAATGGGTGGCGTACATCGAGGACTCCCCCAAGCCGCCCCCGCAGAGAGTGACGCTGACGTACCCGGTGCTCAACAACTCGCGGAATGTAGGTCTGGGGCTAAGCTCTATTCGGGTGTGTCTGTAGGTGTTGCTGAATAAGGTGGTTGTTGCTGTTGTTGCTAGTGTTGTTGTTGTGGTTGCTGTCGTCGTCGTCGCTGGAACGGTACGTAGCTCAAGCAGCGGCGTGCCTCTCGAAGAGCTAATTGCTGTGAGCGAAATAAACACGGTGGTACCCTTCATGACACCCAGCCCCCCCTTCGTTCAATCAAACCTCATGTGTGTATATAAAAAAAAAAGGTTATGTTCATCGGCACCGGAGAAGGAAAGGCCTCCCTACTTCCGCAACTCCTCTCCGTCGGGACAGACGGCGCCCTCGAGTCGGCAGGAGAGTCGTCGCCGTATCCCGCGGCAAGGGTAAAGGTAGCCGAGGGGAAGGCGCTGGCGTGGTGCGTGGACGAAGCGGCGGCGTCTCAATGCCCTCCGGAGATCGTGGCGCTAGCGACCAAGTGCTAGGCGACTTAATCTTGTTTTGTGGTCTTGTCTGTCGCAACTGGTGCGCTGGCCCTTATTTATAGAAAGTACAATATGTGGAGACCACCTTGATAAAGGTACAATCTCCCCAACGTCTGTCGAGGATGATTCCCTCTTTTCACAATGGCGTCGACGAAGTCACCAATACCCTTTTTTTGTGTTTTCTTTTTGTCTTTGACCCTGCGCATGTCGGTCGAGAGCTCGTTGTGTTTTGGGCCCTCCCGCAGTGCCCGTCTTGTGATTGCGAAAGGTGGACTGCCCCCTCCAATGGTTGTTTCGTTGGACACAACGCCCTCTGTTTTTTGGGGGTGCATTCTCGCTGATGTGACCTCTGTGGCGAAGCAGTGGCGATCAGCATGCGTTTTCGGCAACAAAGCGAAAATCGGTCCCGAACCGATGGATGCGTGGAGTCACCCGTCGTTGGAGGCAGGTCGAGACTGGACCATTTTCTTCTGGCAGCGAAGGTTTCAACGAAAGTTTAAGTTTCCTATGCATACTTCGAAATTTGATAGTGGTGAAGCGACGCTGAAATCGTGCGGAGGGGGGGGGGGGGGGGGTACTNATTTACTTTCTGGTGCTTTCACTTCCAGGGACAGTTGTAAGCACTGTGTAACTGCCTCGAGGGTGCTTGACCATTTTAGCACAACGTGGTGCGATCATCCCCCTTGCGCGGAGCGAGGGTTCTCCACCCCGCACAATATGATCTACTCGACCACCAGTATGGTTACCGCAAAAAACAAAGAGGC